TTGGGGTTGAATGCTTAGGGACATTTTGCCCTGTTTTGTTTGGGTTTAGGAAATGTAATAAAATAAATTCTATTGCCTATCCTCTCAGGATACCTGGAATCAGTGTTACAAGTACCCCAGGCACATCGTTTTTTCCATTTTTGTAGCATAAACACCATCAAAATGCGATGCGAGCTTCGGATCTTCCAATGTTTCTCTATGGCGCTGAAAACTAAAGATGTCCGAGTTCCGCTCCCTGTGCAACTGATACTCGACTGCCATTGGCTCATCTGCATTCGAGGGGAGGGGCTTACCGATAGGTCAATTGTTCACATCAAGACTAGCAATGTGTGCTAATAAAGTAAATAAAATCAATTTTGATTTCATGAGGACTTTAAGAAATAGTTTGAAGAACACAGATAATCCATATATTGTCAGAGTTGTGTGTCTTCAGTTTTGATCAGTTAAAATGTTTCTATCGCCTTTTTCTTCAGTTACAGCGATAGCTGGATGCCTTTATCGAAAATGGTATCAAATAGCAATAAGGTATTATACTGAAGTTAGAAATTTTAGTATTGAGACAACAATCGCCAACACAGGTAGAACATGCAAACTCAATACAGAAAGAAGTACTCAAACCAGGGATCGTCTTGCTGTGAGACAATATTACTACCCACTGAGCCACCATGAGAAGGTGAAGAACGTGAATTGATATAAATGAGTATATCCTTAAAAATATGCATTATTAAAGACACTGACAAACAGTGAGATGAATCCCACCTTATCGAAAACATTCCTTCAGCTGCCTTTGTTATTTTTTTACATTTAAAATGACTTCTCTGGTTATTCAGCACTTGTCCATTACAATCAATGAGGCAGCAAATTGAGATATAGCCCTAAACCTTGAAGTGATGTTTCTCTGTCATCCTATGAGCCAGGCTGGTATTGCTCAGAGTATTTGTGGAGTGTCCTGACAGATTACTCTATTGATCTTCAGTGGCTGAGGTCTGCTGAACTCTTCACAAAGAGAGATGCTCTTTTAAACACAGTTGACAGCTCAAAGATAAATTCACAAACAACAAACTCATCAAATATCAAGCAGTTTACACCTGAGCAATCCTTTACGGTTGTCCTTCCTAAACACTTGTGTATTTTAGAGAAACTGTCAGTGGGCCATTATTATTGTACTGGGCATTCAAAACTTTTCCAAGACTTCTCAAAAATTAATTTTCTTTACTTTTTTCTTTTTCATTGGTATTCAACGTACCATTTATAAAGCAAAACTAAATTCAGAGAAAACATCAAATGATTCGGATGTTAAGTTAACATAGCCATGTTTTTGACACACTGATCAAATATAAGCTTTGTGCCATAATTCTCTGAGATTTGAAGTACTTGATCTCTTTCCCCACCATTGACATTGGCATTATCTGGCTTTCTGTGTTTTCACTGTTATATGGAAGGAGGCGCTATTGTACATCTTCTAAAAGAGTACTGAATCCGGCTCAAAAACTGTGAAGAAGCAGCAGAAACAAGTGATTGCATATGTAAAATAATATGATCAAACATTAAACAGCATATAAATCAACACTGCAATGAAGTTATCGAATGAAATGTTGACCAAGGAAGTGGTTTAGGACCAAGCTTTTGGGGTGTTGATGGACTCGATCTACTTCATCTATGTTGTTTCCATCATCATTCTGAAAACGATCTGGATGCAGTCATTGACAAAAACACAATTTTAGCAGCTTTTTGTTCAAAATGTTGCTTTTTTATATTAAACTTACATACAAGTGTTGATAAAGAATGCATGGAGTTCTTATAAAATAGATTTTTTTGTTTGTTTGTTTAAAAGCAGAGGTGCTTTGTTCTTTCTTTTGATATTTTGCATGTTGACATAATTATTCATACAACAAATATACTGTGGTTAATTGCATTTTCGTGCAGTTTTGTATTTCGATTTTTACTGTAAAGATAACTCTGCAAATGATAAATAGACCTGTCTCATTATTCCCTGCCAAGAATGATTTTAAGATTGATACTCAAATTGATTCAAATCTCACTTCAGTTCAATAGATAAATGTAAATAAATTATAGGTGATGTAAATATGTGGATGGATTTGATTTATGGCTTTGTGAGCATCAGGAAGCTTCGCTCCTAGCTTTTTAAGTCAAGTCTTGAGATTTTGCTTCTTTTGCGATGTGGCCATATTGATCCCATACAGAGCACCTGTGCAGCATACAGACATGTATTTCAAAGTCCTTTTGAAGGATTTATGATGTTATGTTGTGGATGCTGCAGAAGGCTGAGTGGCATAATCTCTCATCGCAATCAATTTTACTCCTCATTCATGGTTTTCTTGCTAAAACGAGAGGGCATTTCATTTTTGTTCACTATTTTTCACTGCTGTTTGGAGCTTTATTATTGCGTCCAGTATAATAGCGGTGAGTGGTGCGAACTAAACCTGTGATTTCTCAAAGATGAAAGTGATGAAATAAGATTGAAAGTGCAGCCACAACATTGTGAGTTTCCACCATGTCAAGTATTGTGGTGCATTATATTATTACACTAACAACTTGATCTTAGCACCTTTTTGGCTGAGATATGATGGAAGTGTAACATTCATGTGCATTCACCTCAACAAAGATCAGAAAAGGGTCAAACACTTCACAGGAAAGACCGCTGGACTTTGCATACAGCCCTATTTACTTCAACATGGCTTCTGGTTAAATGTGATCGTTTGAAGAGTCTGGATAATGCAGACACTGCATTGTCAAGCAACATCCCTTGAGGTCAGGTTTAAGAGTTTATCATCTATAAGCTATGATTAAGGTATATCCATGATAGAGGCTTCTCTATTTTTGCCCATTAGATCAATTGAACCTGAACACCTTGTAGCACCGAATGCATGAATAATGCAGGCCATAAGTTATTCAGCCTCCTGCACCTCTGTTTTGAGTAAGCACACTTCAGCTGACTGCCTGCCGCTGCAGGAAAATGGAAATTACATCCAGTAAAAGGGAAATTAATTGATTCTTGCACACTACTTAATTTCCTGTGCTTTCTAGAGATATTTGGGATACAGTCTGGAGCACATTAACAAGAGCTGGAGAATGTATTTGAGATTGTTTTGATCAGGTAAATGGGCTCGGTTTATATATATTTGTGTGTTTAAATTGTTCTAAAAAAAACATTCTTTTGTGTTTATTGTGTGATTTATGGATTATATCACTTAAGTAGCGTCATTCAGGAATTCATTTTTCTTTTTTTCACAAACATTCGGATATTACAACTGAATAAAAGCCAACAATAACAACAACTAGGTTAGCCGATTACCTTAAAAGTCCATATATATCAGTTCATACTGCTGTTAACACTTTTTCCAACAAGCGGATGCGATGAGACCTGTTTTCCAGACCAACATATAACTCATTACAGACTTTGTAATGATTAAAAATGTTGGTTAAAAATACCAAAATCACTTGACACCTTCATGTATGCTACTGTAACTGTCATTCACACACTGCAGTGGCTAACTTTAACTCTTAATTTCCATCCTTTTTATAGAAATGCTTCCCAACACAGTCAAATTACAACACAGCCTTATTAATGTAAGTTACCGAGCTCAAGAGGTAGGCTACAGCATAAGAAGAATGACCCAGATATTAATATCGTAAATCTCAGCACTGACACAGTTTGTGGTTTGTAGGAAATGCCTTAACTGACAGATTAATTGCTTAAACTGAAAGTGTGTTGGAAATAAACCTCTCAGATTTCAAGGTTCTTCTTTTTTTTCATTAAGAGTAGCTAGTCTAGTATAACTATTCATTTGTTTAAATAACTACTTTAATAGAACATTACTAGAACGTTAATTGTGCTACAACTATATTGAGCATATTTGGCGGGAAATTAAGCCTCACATTAACAGTTAAGTAGATGTTCGTGTGTTGTTGCAGTCAGGGTGCTAAACGCGTAGGGATCATAAATATTAAAATCCCAAACAATTGCACCATTTTCAATCGATTTTGTGTAATTAAAATAGCTTCTTTTTGGTAGTTTAATGGATGACATTGTCACAGTCTGAGCTGTTGTATATCATTTTACCACAGTGTGGCACTCCA